AAATCGCGCAATTTTCTTCTTTTTCCTCTTAGCATTTTGGCTGCAGCCAGACAAATCTGAGGCTCTTGCTTCGTCTCGAGCTGGCAGCGCAGCGTGTCCTCAGCATTAATAAGGAAAGAAAAATGTTACGAAATGAGACATGGAGATACGCTTCCTAAGGAGTTTGCTTAAATCAATATTTAGGCATTGCCCAAAGAGTTGAAGCAACAAACTTTGCCCATGAATTTAAGGCCTTAAATTCGCTCGTAAATCTTTTAACTAAATTAGTTTTCCCGCTCGACTATTGAGCTGCCTGGCCCCAAAAATCGTAGTGCATTGAAAGTTTTGGTAATCGAAAACTAAATTGCAAATACCAAAACAAAAGCCTTAAATAAATGTGGGCAACTGAAATGGAAGGCTTTGCGCCATGGCTGCCTGCCAATGCGGCCAAAAAATAAAAGGGGTGTCAAAATCTCTCTCTCCATCTCTCTCTCACACACACTCTTTATGTGTATATAGATTTCACATAAAAAGTTGTTAACAACTGAAACAGAACAAATATTTGTGCAAAAAAATAGATGTATATATATTTAAAGTGTTTTTACAAAATTTAACAAAAAAAAACTTTTTTCTTTTCATTTCCTTTGTTTTAGTTCAGCAAAAAAAGTAGAGAAAACTTCGTGAAAGCCAATGATTGTGTAAGACAAGGTCGAAATTGGTGAGCTCTGGCGAGGCTTTCAATTAGAGTTGCGTCACAGGTAATTACAGATGCCACGCCCACACACGCATAAACACAAACACATAGTAGATGTAAATGCAAAATAGCTGCGCCTCCTCTCTCTATCTATCTCTGTTTCTATGTCTCACTCCAGCTTCCTCTCTCTCTCTGTCTCTCTCTCTCTCTCTCTCTCTGTGTCTGTCTCTCTCTCTCTCTCTCTGTCTCTGTCTTAGATACACATAGACATAGTCTGACAAATTCTCAGTTAACTTCCTTGGCATGTTGGCCACGTGCGGAAATTAAAATTCCAGCTGCGTCAAAAGACTAAAAAGCAACAAGAAACAAGAGCAGAGACAAAGATAGAGAGAGCGAGCGAGAGAGATAGAGAGAGAGAGAGAGGGCGTGAGCGAGACTTTGACTTGGCGCCAAATAAAAAACTGTTTGGCAAAATGAAGGAAGACTACTTCTTCTTCTTCATCATCTTCAACTTTGCTTTGCAATTGTCTAGACTAGAGCCAAAGGACTGCGCCAAATTGTATGCTACGCTTTGTTACACGTGCATAAAAGTGAAGCTCGAGCCGAGAGGCGCAATCAACACTCGCCGCGCCCCCTTCACAGTAGATCATAGCTCACAGCTGTAGCACATACACACATACATTTACTCACATCTATATATATATATGTATGTATTTGTATATCTGATAGCTAAAGGTATCCATGACTTCAATTAGCTTGTTTTCATTTCGTTCATCGTTCATCGTTGTCAGGCATTCAGAACTCAACCCATTCGCCGCGCTCGCAGCTCTCGCAGTTCTCTCAGCTCTCAGCTCACAGTTCGCCTAATTAAAGTCGACGAAAAGTTCGTGTATTTGAACAAGCGCCGTTGATACGGCAAAGGGTCAAGAAACTTGCCAAAAGGCAAAAGTTTTTTACATATATATATTATATACATGCATATATACTTTTTTTTTATTGTTGACTTGGCAAATCAACGTTTCAATGGATACAAAATAACTTAAAGGGGTTTTCGATCAAGTTTAAGTCTTTATTTATTCTTAAATTTAAGATTGGATAAATTTCAAAATGTGTGTCACGCATTGAAGACGTTTTAAAAAGTTAAAATATCAAATAAAATTGTATAAAAATATTATCATAATAAAAAATATATAACAATAAAAAATTAGTATAAATAAAATTATTAAAAATAAAAATAATTATAATATAATAATAAAAATAATAATAATAATAAAATAATAATAAAAACAAGAAAGAAAGCTCTAGTCGAGACAGCTCGACTACGAGATCCCCTGAACCCTACAAGCAA